GGCAGGATGGCCATTTTGACGATATTAATTCTTCCTAGCCATGAGCATGGGATGAGTTTCCATTTATTAGTGTCCCCTTTAATTTCTCTTAAGAGTGACTTGTAGTTTTCAGAGTATAAGTCTTTCACTTCCTTGGTTAGGTTTATTCCTAGGTATTTTATTCTTTTTGATGCAATGGTGAATGGAATTGTTTTCCTGATTTCTCTTTCTATTGATTCGTTGTTAGTGTATAGGAAAGCTACAGATTTCTGTGTGTTAATTTTGTATCCTGCAACTTTGCTGTATTCCGATATCAGTTCTAGTAGTTTTGGAGTGGAGTCTTTAGGGTTTTTTATGTACAGTATCATATCATCTGCAAATAGTGACAGTTTAACTTCTTCTTTACCAATCTGGATTCCTTGTATTTCTTTGTTTTGTCTGATTGCCGTGGCTAGGACCTCCAGTACTATGTTAAATAACAGTGGGGAGAGTGGGCATCCCTGTCTGGTTCCCGATCTCAGTGGAAATGCTTTCAGCTTCTCGCTGTTCAGTATAATGCTGGCTGTGGGTTTATCATATATGGCCTTTATTATGTTGAGGTACTTGCCCTCTATTCCCATTTTGCTGAGAGTTTTTATCATGAATGGATGTTGAATTTTATCGAATGCTTTTTCAGCATCTATGGAGATGATCATGTGGTTTTTGTCTTTCTTTTTGTTGATGTGGTGGATGATGTTGATGGATTTTCGAATGTTGTACCATCCTTGCATCTATAAGGAGATCTTTTGCAAAAGGAATAGAACATGCCAGGACAGAGTCGTGGAAGTAGTTTTATACTGTGTCAGTGATCTGACTTTTATATCCAGTGTGGACAATTTGAGTAACTGAATGAAATACATGAACTCTTGATGGTCTTTGAGAATTAGTATCTATTAGGCCTTGGACATGAGCAAATATTGTCTTTGAATGAATGAATGGTGGTTTGATGGGAGATAGCACTGAACGTGGAGTTGAGTATCTGGGTAGTTCTTCTGATATGGTAAAGAGCTAACTGGTTGTGTGACCTTTGGGAAATGACTTAACTCTTAGTTTCTGTTTCCATGACTGTAAGAATGAGGAGTGTGGCTGAATAATGGTTACATTCCTACTCAGACCTAAAATGCAGCATTCCCTCTTTCTCTCCTCTCACAATTGCACCTAACTTGACTTTTAGTCCACAGAGAAGGCTATAAAAATCTCTCCAAGTGACTACCATATAACAAGTTGAGGATCACTGCTTTTAGAGACTTAAAATGTTAAGGGCAACTGATGTCAAGTAACCTTTTAAGGCTCCATGTTTTAAAATGATGAAGTAGGATGATGGTTATAGAAATAGCAAGAATGAAATAATACATGTTACTGCATTTTATGGTTTATGGAGTAATAATTCTGTATATTAAATCATTGAATCTGAAAAAAATTGTGTGAAACTAAAAAGGTATTGTCACCTCCATTTAGCAAAGGGTGAAATTGAAGTTCAGAAAAATTAAGTGACTTGCTAAAGGTCACTGTGCTAATAAAAAATGGAATCTGGGCTCATAGACACCAAGAAGGGACTAGTGGTTACCAAAGGGGGGGGAAAGGTTGGGGAGGGAGAAGGAGATTAAGGGGCACTGTAATTCTCAATCACAATATAGGTAGGTCACGTGGAAGGCAGTACAGCACAGAGAAGACAACTAATGACTCTATAGCATCTTAACTATGCTGATAGACAGGGCCTGCAATGGGCGGGGGTGACTTGATAATATGGGTGAATGTTGAACTACTGTGTTGTATATGTGAAACTATCATAAGATTATATTATATATCAGTGATACTTTAGTAGAAAAGAAAAAATAGAATCTGGGACTAGAGTCACACGTGGCACCATTCTTATTAGACCATCAGTTAGGATTACATAGGATAGATCTCCAGAATTTTCAGTCCTTTCCATTATGTGTTACTTGTCTTTTAAATGGGGTAATTACCTACTTAGGAAGATTTATAAGGGTTAATAATCTAAAGCTTGGTCCTTATTGCTCTTTTAACTAACAACTTTTTAAAAATATTTCACTACACATTATTCAGTTATGTGTGTCTAGCCATTAATAGTAAGGGAAAACAGATTGGGTGGCACACAGGGTGAAATTAATTTTATAATGTAGTAATCACTTGGCTTGTGTTCCTTGGAGGTAGATGTTGCAGATACACCAAGAGGACGCATGCATCAGTTTTCCTTCATGTTAATGGTGATGGGTTTAATTTGTTATGCACCCCTTCTCATGTAGCCACCTCTCTCCCCATATCCTGCTTTTTCTTTTTTTTTTTTTTTTTTCAGTCTGGTTGGAAGAGATCATTGATGGGCGCTGTTGTACTACGCTGTGTTGTGCTGCACTCACTGTTGTGCATTTGCTTTCATATATAGGTAGAACAGTCTGGAGCAATCACTCTTTGGTCTCTGTGCCTGCGGTTCCTATTATTAGCCTGTGAATTCATGCCTTTTCATGCCTTAGTATTTCTGGTAACTAGCTAGTTAATCATCAGTGAGCTGGGCTTTGAAAGTGGTGCTTTGTGGTTGAGTGACTGTGAAGGCTTAATTCTCTCCTTCCTCTACCTTTAAGAATCTCAGAACTGGATCTTTGGGGAAGTGCTGTGTTTCACTCTTCATTAATCTTTTCTTCTACCTGTCAACTTTTGGCTTTTGTGGAAATGTGGGACAGAACATCTGTGGTGGTCTTACCTGTTTTGGGAGAGAGAACTCTGAGTATTCTAAGAATGATCACCTTGAGAAAGACTGTTTCCTTAAGTAACTAATGTTTTTAGAGTAAATATTCAACATTGTCTATTCCTATTGGTTCACTGTGCTTTCTCTCCCTTTAGCCCCCCAGGTTCGCCCAATAGTCTTGGCTACTTCCCTACAGCTGCTAATCTTAGCGGTGTCCCTCCACAGCCTGGCACGGTGGTCAGAATGCAGGGCCTGGCCTACAATACTGGAGTTAAGGAAATTCTTAACTTCTTCCAAGGTTACCAGGTCAGTAGCTTGAAGAAGAAAAATTCTCAGTGCCCTTATTACTTAAGTTGATTTGCCTAAAGAATGCAGCCAGGAAAGAAGCAGATTCTCTGAAATTCCTGTGTATATATGTGCTAATAGATGTGCCTTGTAGGCAAAACAAATGAGTCAAAGTCAAGGGCTACTTGTCAAGGACTATCTTCAGATTCATCCCTCTGACAAGGTTAGGGCTTTTCCATGCAATTTTAATGATTTCAATATAATCTATTGGTGCTTTTTTTTTAAAAAACTGGGCTACTTTGGGAAAGAAAGCTCTTTGCATCTGGAATAGGATTGGCCAAGGCATTTTCCTCAAAGTCAAAATTCTTGACTAACAAAAAATATACTTAAACATGGAGTTTAAGTTGAGTCTTTAAAAAGAGGTCTTTCTGCCTAACATGGAAAAAAAAAAAGGAAGCTCTGTGAATCTTTAGATGATAACTACTTAAAATGAGCTGTGAGAAATTCAGTGTGAACCTTTTATGAAATTATCTGTTAATTCTTGTGAAACTGATATTTATGCTTGCCAGTGTTTTCCACCACTGCCTGTGTCTATCTTTTCTGACTTAAAGGATGAGATGTTTCTTTTTAAGAGCTCTCTAACAGTGAGCAAAATCTTCTTGCCATCTCATCTGAGCAGACACATTTCCTTCCTCAAATCACATAATTACCTAGAACCCGAACTCCTTTCCTGCAATGTCTAAAAATCAGTCTCTTGCAGGCTTTTTGTTGCACTAATAGCAAAAATTATCTTTTCTCTTGGAGCTGAACTTGTGTCTTCAGAGTTGAGAACCATTTATAGGAATAATCATCAAATTCTAAAATAGCCCTTGAGCATTTGTGGTTCAGCATCATAAGAGCTGTGCCTTCAGATGCTCTTTCACTATTATAATGGGTTTACAAGCTTGGTATCCGTGAATCATGCAAGATTGTGGAGCTCAGCTAAAATTATCTCAGTGGAGATGCCCCAAACCTACCAAGTTACCATAAGGACTTTTAATATGCAAAGGATATTTTCTGGCAAGTGAAGAAAGTCTATGTTTGATAGTGAAAAACTGAGTTGAAGGTGGACAAAAGTTATGTTTTGTTACTGCCTGGTTTAGCACATTCTTACCAGAAGTAAGATTTATCCCTGGGGGATACATTTACTTCCAAGACCCCAGTAGATGCCTGAAAGCACAGATAGTACCAAACCCCATATATATATATATATATATATAGTGTTTTTTTCCTATACATAGATACATACCTATTATAAAGTTTGGTTTATCAATTAGGTGCAGTAAGAGATTAACAGAAATAACTAAGAAAACAAAATTATAACTATACTGTAATAAAAACGTGAATATGTTCTCTCTTGCTCTCAAAATATCTTGGTATATCGTACTCACCCTTCTTGTCATGATATGAGATGATAAAAAGCCTATGTGGTGGGATGAAGTGAGGTGAACAATGGTAGGCATTGTGAGATAGCACTGGGATCATCTGCTTCTGGACAGAGGTTGATGGCAGGTAACTGAAACTGATGAAGGGGAACTACTGTAAATACTACTGTAGACTTTGCCTTTTTCCTAAATAATTATGCTGCCTGTTGGAAGCCCTTGCAGGGGTAAAAACGTTACTGTCCAAACTTTGTATCTGATTCATTAGGTAATAAAACAAATAGAGAATCTTAATGAAGGCTATTGAAAAAGTTGCTTAATCTTACAGAGAAAACATTTTTAGTTTTGTATTTTTCTCCCTTTTCCAGTCTTAGAAAGTACAAGCAAGGTTTTGGGTTTTGGTGGTCAGCTGAACTATGTGTGTTTGTTCGAACTAATTAACTTTTACATTCACACCGAATAGAATTAGGCAGTCATTCACATAAGCTGTTTATAAGATTAAGCAAAGTTGTTCTTACAAAGAGTTCTGTGGCTGGCTTTTCTGGGTACTTACCCTATCACAAACAAATGAGAGTGGTTATTTCTAGATTTATAGCTAAAAGAATGACATGCTTCAAAATCAAGATAGAATAAATTTAGTAAATTTATCTTCTAGTAGCTTCTAGGGAGTCATTCAAGGTTGGAGTAGTTTTCTGATGTAATCAGAAGCACAAAGATTGTACAAAATTTTTTCATCTCAAAGCTATTTGGCCTTTTCTGAAGTCCTTGGAATTTATTAACTCAATCAATGAATTAGGGTTACATAGGAACTTCATTTATCCAACTCAGTATATTAAAGATTCCAATGTCTTCCTTCAGTAATTTGAGCAGTTACAGTGCATGCATTCAAAATCTTTTGTATTTGACCTAATTTCATATCAATTACATAAAAGCTCAGATTTTCTATTGTCTCAAGAGTCCATACCTTTTTATTTTTTTCTGTTCCTGGTTAATTTGATAAGTACTTAGGATTCCAGATTCTTAGGTACAGCTTTGTTGGAAGACAAAAGCAGTGTATGGTTTTTTGAAAACTGTCTTCTCTTAAGTGTATTCTGTGTCTATTTTTACCTGTAGTCTATTTATTGTTGTTGCTGACTTAATGGGAGTGTATTTCATTTGATTTCTGGTTATTTATGATTTTCATGTAATCATAATTTATTTACATAATAAAGCAAATACTTGGTAATGATTAGTTGAACGAATGAAATCTCTTTAAGGTTTCTGATTCTGTCTTTTTAAACATATATGTACCTTGATGTAATATTGGCATATGTCATTTTCTATAAATGTTTAAATATAATATTTGGATATATGATTCCCCTACCCTCTCAGCAAAATTCCATCTATAAAACTACTCCAGCTTAACTTTTCCAAGCCTCATTTGTGGTGGGGAGGTATAAAGCTGGAAAAGGGGAGGATTTACAAAAATGGGAAGAAGTCTGATGACCAAAGCAAAATCTGCAATCTTGTAAAGTTAAAGTACCTGAGTTAGGCCCATTTTGGTAAATGAGATTAATAGAAGAGTGACTGAATTTATGAAAATAAACTACCATAGAAATTTTGGGTAGTGAGAATGTCATTCTTATCATGAAAATAAACTTGTGTCTGTATTTTAGTTGGTGGGCTTCTTATTCTGGTGTCCTTATATAATTTTTTAATTTGTTCTTTGTACTTTACTTTCAATGGCTTTGATTTATCAATAATGCTAGTTTTTGTTTCTCCTCATAGTACTAACTTTAATAATTATCTCTTTGGACACCTCACTGCTAAGATGTCTACTTGCTGCTCTACTGGGAGAATTAGATTAATATTACAAATACATTAATACTATTTAAAGTTCACCAAGTTGTTTGGAGATGCTGGCTTTATTGTACAATACCTTGCAAATAGTTAGTGTTTAAATATTTGGTATCTAGCTGTGGTGTCATGGAAACTGTCCTATCAGCAACATCTGAAGTATTTAGTGGTGTTTATTGTGATATACCACTGTAAGAAAAAGGTTTTCTTTCTTTATCCATGTGTTAATCTGACTTCCCTCCTAGAAGGGATTTTTATGGTATTTACATTAAGTAAGAAATAAATTCACATTAAGTAAGAGATATAGACTTGGGATTAGCAGTTAGGTATATGGCTCATACCAGTATTAATTTGTTTCCTATGGTCTGATGTCCTATAATACTGTTGGTAGATCAATACTAACCATCCGTAGTGATCATTTGTCCGTCTTTTGATCCTGTTTGTTTTAACTTGCATTTTAGTATGCAACCGAGGATGGACTTGTACACACAAATGACCAGGCCAGGACTCTACCCAAAGAATGGGTTTGTATTTAAGGGCCCCAGCAGTTAGACCATCCTCAGAAAAGAAGGTAAGGTGCTGTGATGTGAGTTAAATTTTAAAGGGCCAAACCAACAGAGATCAAGAATCTGAATGTATTTTTTAGGAGTCAGGTGAGAAGTTCCCTCTCTTTAGTATGATGTAAGAGTACCAGAAATCCTGGCAGAAATGGAGACTGAAATTAAGCTTGTCGTCTAAGTAAATAGTATGTAAGCCACATTTGTATGGCTGGATAACAGTTGTATGTTGTTTTGAGGTAAGGGGAACCTTTTACATTTGGAAATTCATTTGCTGCATTTCATGTAGAATACAGGTTGGATATGTTTTTGTTTGTTTTGTTTTTTAATTGAGGTAAAAATCAAATAATCATTTTAAAGTACATAGTTTGGTGGTATTTAGTGTATTCACAACATTGTGCAACTGCCATTTCTATCTAGTTCCAAAACATTTCACCATCCCAAAAAAGAACCCTGTTGTACACATTAAGTAGTAGCTCCCTCTTTCCTTCCCTATAGACCTTGCCAACCAACCTGCTTCCTGTCTGGATTTGCCTATTCTGGATGTTTCATATAAATGGAATCCTACAATATGTGACCTTTTTTGTATCTGCTTCTTTCACTTCATATATTTTTGAGGTTCATCCATATTATGGCATGTATCAATACTTCAATCCTTTTTATGACTGAATAATATTCCATTGTATGGATATACCACCCTTTATTTATTCATTTATCCATTGATGGACGTGAGTTGTTAATACTTCCTGGCTATTTTGAACAGTGATGCTGTGAACATTTATGTACAAATACTGAGTACCTGTTTTAAAAAAAATTTCCTTGGGTATATATCTAGGGGAAGAATCACAAAGTTATATGTTAATTCTATGGAATTGGGTTTACTTTTTTTTTTCCAGTTTCCTTTTTAAAAATATTATGGCAAACTATACATAGCATAAACTTTACTATATTAACTATTTTTAAGGGTACAGTTTAGTGGCAATAAGTATATTCACATTGTTAGGCAACCATCATCACCATTAGCCCTAGAACTTTTCTATCTTCTCAAGCAGAAACTATATATACATTAAACAGTAAGTCCCCATTTCCCTCTTCCCTTAACCCCTGGCAACCACCATCCTGCTTTGTTTCTGTGCATTTAATTATTCTAGGTACCTTATAAGTGGAATAACAGTATTTGTCCTTTCATGACTGGCTCATTTCACTTCACGTAATGTTTTTAAGGTTTATTTGGGTAAACTGTTAAATGTGCTTCATTCCAAAATGATTGTGAAGCTTGCGTTGCATGACTTTTTCCTCATCTAAAATTAAATCTAGAGGAAGGAACCCTTGATAGTTTCTGATAATAGGTTCCTTTCTTTCTTTGTGTTACTCCATTATCTTTTCTTAAAGAATACTAGCTTACTGTGTGAGGTTCTTCAAGCAATGCAGTTATAAAGACATGGTCAGGAATTCGTGTGGCTTATTCTTTTTTTATTTGGTTTGTTGAAAATGTTCTGCTGGCCTGCCATTTTCAAATTTTGTTATCATTTTCATGGCCAGCGACCCTGTGGGCTTCAACCATATGGATTCTAAATTGGAAATGGGTTGCTGGTACTGTGTTTTCCTTGAGAAATGGCAATTAGACTCTTAGCCTTTCATTCTGAAGCTGTAGAAACCACAGTTCTGGGTGAGAAGTGATGAGTCTCTGCCATTTTCAGTGAGGTTTTAAGATGCCTTAAAAGTATCAAGGAGCTTCATGCCCAGACACTTCATAGGGGGAATGAGGTGTTTTCTCGTCTAGCTCACAATAGTGAGAGCACAATATTCTAGCCTGTTGATACTCTTTTTGGTCCATACATTCTTTCACTGTGTTCTTTTTTCAACCCTTTAGGCTGTCTGTGAATTTGATAAGCATACTGTATATAATTTAAACTATATATGTAAATGAGTATATTAAACAAGAAAAACTACAAATGGAACGTTTTGATACTACATTAGAAATGTCCTAGATGTACTGTGAATTTGATAAGCATACTATATATAATTTAAACTATATATGTAAATGAGTATATTAAACAAGAAAAACTACAAATGGAACATTTTGATACTACATTAGAAATGTCCTAGATGTACTGTGAATTTGATAAGCATACTATATAGAATATAAACTATATGTAAATAAGTATATTAAACAAGAAATAACTATAAATGGAACCTTTTGATATTACATTAGAAATGTCCTAGATGGACTACCCATTACTCAATACCACTAATTAATTGTACCTTCTGTATATGTGTTTGGGGCCATGACAGAATAACAAGGTGCTTTGTTAAAATCCATGTTTGCATTTTCTTATTTAATAACATTAGATTAATCTGCCTTTATGTGAGAATTTTTAAGAAGTCACAAGGAGTACTGTGTGAAATACTTGACATAAGTTATCTCATTTAATTATCTCAACAAACCTGGGAGATAAGGATCACAAAAGTATTGTGGGCTCATTATAAAGAATTTAGAATATATAGACAGGTACAAAGAAACCACTAACAATCCCACCATCCAGAAATAACCATAGTGAATATTACCTTTCAGGTTTTATTTGATAGGCCCTTGTGCAGTTTGGGACCTTGTGACTATATATTTATATATTTTCCCCCCATCCATATCAATATCAAATTCATAATCACCAGCCATCTTTTACACCAATAGAGTGGCTTATGCTCTTAAAGCACCATCTATTCACAGTGTCATTCGAGCTCACCACAGCCATGTGAGGGAGCAGGGCATGTGCCCACGGCTCCATTTGATAGAGGAGGAAATTAAACTCAGAGAGGTTAGACAACTTTCAGAGTCATGCAGCTAATGACCAAGCTGACAAAGACACATAACTTCCAGCCTCAGTCTTGATGCTTTTTTCCATTGACCAAATAATGGCATGACAGAGTCAGTGCTTATAGTGAGCTGAATGGCCCCAAATGTCCACATCCTCATCCCTGGAATCTGTGACTTTTACAGGTATACCTCTTTTTTTTGGTCAGAAATTACCCCCAACAGCTCACAAGCTATTGAAGTTGCCCAAGAAGCCCTCCATGGAAGGAGGTTTGATGGCTGGCTGGAAAAAATATCCTCAGAGGACCAGAGTTCCCATCCCCATACCCATACTCCACTGCCCTATCCCACCAAGCTCCAAGGCTCATACTCCTAGGATCTCAAACTCACAGGGTTAGCTCATAAGTCTGTCAGTAAGTGCTTGAATATAATTATATTTTACATACATATGGAGATTTCTTTAGAGATGTTATTTTCTGGCTCTGTAAAATGGGCATAAAATCACTTCCAAACATGTAATGTAACCCTTTTTGTGGGGTGAGGTGAATGTAATGAAATGTAATCAAGCTTTACAGTCTATAATGTTCTTTCTCTCTCATATGTATAACTATTTTGTAGCTATGATTACAATAATCATTGTAGGGGCAAGATTTTTAACTATTTTATTCCAGGCATTATTCAGAGTTCTTGAGTTTTCCATTAATATCCTTTTTCTATCCCGTGATCAGTCTAGGATTCCATGCTGCATTTAGTTGGCCTGTCTCCTTTGTGTCCCCTGGTCTGTGTTAGGTTCTCAGTCTTCCCATGTTTTTCATGACCTTTATAATTTCGAGGTATACTACTTTTGAGGTATTTTATGGGCAGTCCTTCTGTTTGAATTTGTTTGATGTTTTTCTTGTGATTAGACTGGGGTAGTAGGGGTTAGGACTGAACACCATAGAGGTGACATGCCCTTCTCATCACATGACACCTGGGATACCATACCCACGTGACATCACTAGTGATGCCAATCTTGAACATTGGGTGAATGTCTTAGGCCATTCAGGCTGCCATAACAAAATCCCATGGACTGGATGGCTTATGAACAACAAACATTTCATTTCTCACAGTTTTGGAAGCTAAGAAGTCCAAGATGAAGTGTTTACAGTTTCCTTTGATTTTGGAGGGGGAAACTTGTGTCTGTACTGGGTGTTTTTTACGGCGCTTGTAATGTGTTAAGGCTGATCTTGTACCAACAGCTAAGTTTTATGCAAAGAAAAAAATATCTCATATTTGGCGAATATTTTTACATCTGGCCTGTTTAGTGTAGAGTCTGAATTATTTTGTGGAGTGAAAGTGGTCTGTCTTTTGTATTGCTTCTTTTTCTGAATCAATAGAATGACTGGTATTTTAGTTTCTGGCTAAAAAATTCAAGGTGCCTCAGATAAATAAGCAGCATTCAAAATCAGACAAGATTTCTCTCTTCCAACTTGAATTTATTGTAGTGGGACCAGAACAGCTGAATAAATGCTGATTCTATTGATTTAAATAACAAAAAGGCTATCAAACTTTGATAAAATAAAACCTGTAACTCAGATTTTTTAATCTTTTATATAAAGAAGAAGAAACTTCCTCTGTTCTAACAAAGAAATCTCACAAATGACTTACCCTTTTCAGAAAAGAGATGTCAAATTTTGCCATAAGGAAGTAATATATTCAACTAATCAGAATTACAGGCTTTTTGAGGGGTTTAGGTTCATTCCATAGGATATAACACCACCTGGTGAAATTCAGGTATCTTAAAAGACTTCTTTTTACATGGTACTTTTAATGCATTTTAGTACAAAATAAAAAAACATTGTACGTTTTAACACAGATCTTACTAGAAAGGAGATTTGTGAATGTTTACAACCATAACTTCAAAATTGTCTGTGCATAATAGTGTTTACTTTTCTGTAGCTAAAAGGGGATAGGAAACATTTTCTCCTTATCAGTTTGAGTCTTTTTTTTTGCTAGCAGCTAGGCGTCTGCAATTTCATTGCTAAACACTAAAATTCCATTGGATACCACTGGGATTAGAAGGCAAGTCCAAGAAGACTTTTAATTTCTTAAAGCCTTTTCTACATTTTCCCAGACTGTGAAGGTATAATTTGCAGCATTTACACGAGTTGCCTACTAGAATAATAATGAGCTGGGAATGGGGAGGGTGGAATTCATTGATTTTGGTAACAGACAGGCCCCGGGTTGATCTACTGGGCTAGTTGTAAGGGCTCACCCTCAGCCAGACTGTCCGCGAGATACCCTCAGCAACTCTTGGCTTACATCCTTCCTTTATTTATTTATTTATTTTTATTAAAGTATCGTTGATATACAATCTCATGAAGGTTTCGCATAAACATTGTGGTTTCAACATTCACCCATATTATCAAGTCCTCACCCCACCCACTGCTGTCAACTCTTAATCAACGTAGTAAGATGCTATGGAGTCATTACTTGTCTTCTCAACACTGAACTGCCTTCCCTGGGACCTGCTGCCTGTATTGTAATTGCGAATTATAGTGCCCATTAATCCCCTTCTCCCCTCCCACCCACCGTTCCCAGCCCCTCCCCTTTGGTAACCACTAGCCCCTTCTCAGGTTTTGTGAGTCTGCTGCTGTTTGTTCCTTCAGTTTTGCTTTGAAGGATCTGAGTGAAGTCATTCTACACCCTTCAATTTTAAGTCCAGAAGGAGGGCAGGAATGAGTTCACTGGCCTGGCTTAAGTCTATCTCAGAAACGACTGTGGCCAGGGATATGCAGAGCTCTAAACTGGCTATGCCTGGGTGTTAGTGTTGGGTTCAGTGGTAAAGCTGCCTTTTTATGGGCTCCAAGATTGGAGTTATTTAAGGAAAACCAGGTGCTATTGCCAAAAGAAGAGTAAAATAAATACTGGGGAATAGGTTGTTGGCACGTTTTCTTATTTGTATTAAGTATCCAAGGAGAAACTTTAAATGCACACTGTTTAATGCTGAGTGCTAAATTATGGTCATTTGTAAACCACATTTTAAAAATTGAGTTCTAACAAACAAGTATTTCACTATTTTTAAATACCCAATTCTAAATATGTATCGATTTTAGGATCTCCATTACTAAAGCAAATCTAATCTAATCTTGGCCACAATTACAAATTGATTATATGAACAAGACTAAACTCTGAAGGCCTATTTTTTCTGTCTTCATTCCTGTTTCTCATTTACATGTGGAAATACATACAATGACTAGTTAAAGCTTTCATTCTAAAGCCTTTGTGTACATAGTGGAGCAAATCTGCATTCAAATCCTGAATCTGCCCATTACTGGTTTAATAGCTTTGTTCCTCAGTTTCCCCATCTTCATAATGAGAAGATCATGGTAATTTTATAGGGTGGTTGTGAGGATGAAATAAATTAATGACCCACATACAGGTTGCTAATCAGCTAGTCACTGGCATGTAGAGCTCAGATTTGCTGTAATGTCATGCCATAATGCTTTTCACTGATTCAAATACTTCTTGTTTGATATGTGATTTCTAAAACCAGAATGTTTTGAAAATGTTTTATTTTAATAATGGCGTTGAACTGCTAAAATCAGAAGAGTGCTGTGATAACTAGGGGATCTGGACTACAGAGTTAATAAATAAAAGTCTCTCCACAAAGGAATTGAGTGACTTAGGAAGATGAATTCCACACACAATAATACAAAGAGTTGGGAGTTGTGGAAATGCCACTTGTCACAAAAACCTCATTTGCCATCACTGTACGCCCTGAGAATTTGAATTTGCTGTGTAAATGACTGTGTCTGGGTAAAATAAAAGTTTGGACTACTGACCTTGAGGCTTTTTTTAGACCTTTTGGAATTCCTTTTTTTTTGGCTGTTAAGAAAGTGGAAAACTTATTAACTATAATACTTCCTTTTATTCATTTTTTTCAGTGTTTGAAAGATGTATGGTGATCCTGAAACCATCAGACTTTAGACATCTAGCAACTTCAGGTGAAGTTTGTCTACACTCAGGCTGCAGTATTTTCAGCTAACATGATTGGACAGTGGGCCTGTGCCCTATCTTACGGTGGAGTGAAAAATTTGAGCCAGTGAAGCCAAATCCTTAGAGCAAGCAGCATGCCTGGCTCCTTGCTGATTGCAAATAGGCATTTAAAATGTGAATTTGAAATCCGATGTCTCCATTACTTCCGGCTAAAATGGCATCAAAGGTATTTCCTAAGTTTTAAGTCTTGGAAAAAAAAAACTTACTAGTGTCTACCATCTCCACCAAGAACTCTTATGGAAGTGTCATTTTTGTGTGTTCCCACTCTTGACTCTCCATCTCCCTGTCTTCTGCACAGTCATGCCCTCTTACTGGGTAATTCAAGAATAAGGTCTTGGAATACTTAAATCACAAACTTAAGACTTAAAACTAACATATTCCCAGTCTGTCAGCCATCTTATAGGTGAAAACCAATGAAAACAATTTTTAAAATACTTTGGGATAAATTAAAAGAAATAGTGCACCCACCACAAAGCATACATAGTTGAAAAGTTGGATCTTTTCTCTCAGCAGGTACCAGTTGTAAATAAGAATGAACTAGGGGCCAAATGCAAAACCAAAAATGAAGCAGCTATATGTAGTTAGTAATTTCTAGTTTGAACTGTACCGAATACTGAATATTGTGGCTTCATATGTATTATTTTATATTGTACTTTTCCATTATTGATGGTTTAGACTTATTAATTAATAGAATTTTCATCATTTTTAACAACACCAAAATGAGAATATTTGAACAGTATATTCTAGAAAGCAATATACTAACTGAAGTGAATGCTTGTATATATTAATATAGCCTTAAACCTTTTTCTCTAATGCCTTAACTGTCAAATAATAAAAACTTTTAAAAGCATAGGATTATAGTCAGCATGCTAGAGTGAGAGGTAAACACTGATATGGTAAGAGCAGGTACTGATGCTGTCAGTGTTTAGAACTATGTGTTTAGTTGTGTTTATGCTACAGAAGTGCAATATTAGACACTAGCTAGTACTGCTGCCTTGAGTAACTCCAAAGAGAAAAACAGGATTTGATTAAGTGCACATGTTTAAGTTACTCATATTGTCCTGTGCTTGGATTGCAATGCCATGCAGATTTATGTGGCTGCTATTTTTATTTACTTAGCATTACTTTGATTAACACCTTGAATGGAGAGCTAAACATTCCCTCTTCAGCTGACCAGCAATGGCCCTGTAACTGCAGTAGGAAAAAACAAAAACACATTTTGCATGAAAATTGATAACTGGCACTTAAGATCAGAAAAAAAGTTCTTTATACTTGATGCCTTATGATGCTGTCTGCCCAAAGCTCTGAAAGACTTTAAGATTGGCAGTAATACTTACTACAATACTACTGAGTTTTTGTAGAATTGTTACATTTGATAATAAAATTTGCCTGTTTAATCTCAGTGTTTGTGGTAGTGTTTATTTGGGTTATGGTAGTGGTGGAAGGGTGTGGGTAAGCTGTCTTTTAACTGAGGTGGTAAGGTTTTTTTCCTAAGCTAAGTATGTGTAAAAGCTGTCAGTGATAAATGTACTCTAGATAGTCAACCATCCTTTGAGCATAAATCATTGAAACTTGGATTTTGACATTTTTGAACATTATGGCAATCATAGATACTAATATTTGTTCCTTGCATCTTATTACTGGAGTTCTATTTGTTTGACAGTTTGAAAACCTATTAAAGCCACATAAAACTAAAGTTCAAGAACTCTGCTTCAGAATCCCACACGCGCTTTTATTCCAGTTACTCTGCTCATGCCAAATTCTCCAGTATTGTCTAATCCAAATTCCATCCATTCTTTAGGACCACAGTTGAATCTTAGCTGACTTCTCCCATTTCAGAGCTATATATATTGCCAGTGTCACATTTGACATACATAATCTTGTTCCAGAATTCATGTGTCAATTCTGAATTTAGATTGTAACCTAAGGGCATGAAATATGCCTGTATTTCCTTTAATATCTAGAACATTTCTGTTACTCAGTTTACCTTTGTTAAGTTGAATGAAGTTTAATTCTCCTGGGAAAGCTTTTCAGTCCCAGTCCTTGCCAGTATCATTTACAAAAATAGAGCAATTGTTTTCAGATTTGTACTTGAGCTTTGGTCTCCGCCATCACCTGCAATCCCCAAGAAAGCCGAGATTCTGACCAGGTTCCCCTTTGCTTTCCTGTCTGGCAGGCATTAAATGTTACCCAAGGCTCTTCCCTGCCTTCACCAAAAACAAAGGTTTTGCAAGAGGAAGAATGACAGTAAAGACTAGAATGCATAAAAGACCTCAAGTCCATCTCTCAGGTTTATAGTTGATTGCACAATTTCTCATCCTCTCCCCACTTTATCCAGCTCTTCAGGGGGGAAATTTATTTTTAACATACACAAATGTAGAATAATGAACACCATGTACTCTTTACCCAGCTTCAACAATTATGAACTCCAAGGCAATTTTGCTTTATTTATATTCCTTTCCCCATTATATTCCTTTCCACTTTTGCTACTGTTCTATTAGTTGGAAACAAATTCTTTGCATCAGATTTAAAATGGAGCTCCAAGTCTGAAATTGAGTGTAGGTGGTGATGCTCTTAATGAGAAGAGTAGAGAATAGGACTGAACTGGTAGAAATGCTGTTTATGGATGTCCTCTGTTCAACGTTTAATCTACAGTTGTGCTCTATAATCCATTCTCTGGTCCATGTGCTAATATGAGGAAACATACAGGACAGGTGATCTAAACCTGGAGGACTGGAAGGCCACCAGGATGAAATTCAGGAGTTAAGCACTGAGTGGGTGCCTGAGGAAAAAAGCTTTTACACATTTATGCTGCCTCCTTTGTGTTAAGAGAAATCTGGTAGCCCAAGATCCCAAGGTGTAGGCCTAGGGAAAAAGTTCAGATGCAAACAGCTTGACTTGCCCCTGCCTGAGATTTAAATTGAAGAGCCAGTGTCCTTATTTCAATGCAATTCAGTGCAATTCCTTCATGTAGAAGGTGAAGGGACACTTGGGGCCAAATCCCAAGCTAGTAATTACCTTGGAAGCATATGCTATAAACTACAACAAAACCATTGAGAACATGTATGCCCAGCAATAATAAGCACTATGTTGGTTAAATGAATCTTCACAGCAACCTATTAACAGTAGGTACTACTATTATTTTATAGACTAGGAAATGGAAGGATAGCTTAAGTGAAACCTGTTCACATCTGCACAGAAAGGAAGGAAACTGGAATTTAAAGCAAGATTTAGAGACTGATGTAGCTAATGCTCTCACCATTACTCCTTTATCTGCTCTGGCTCTTTCCCTAGCATTGCACATAATATGGTTCAGAGTAGGGCTTCACAGTGTTCCTTTCTTTGGTCTGCCTTTTAACTTTATTGCCAGCGTGACATTAATTTGGCTGCTGAATTATTCAGTAGCTGCATATTGTTGCTGTTCTAAAAATGACTGTTGATAAACGGGTAACAAAATTGCTGGTTACACACTGGAATTTGAGCCAGTGTTTTATAACTGACACTGTATGATAGCAACTAGAAACATTTTAAAAAATGAATGTGAAATTGTCAACTTGTTCTGGCTCTCAGCCTCCTTTGTGATTCCTCCTTCCCTACCTGATGGTGTGTCTCAGCTCCTTCCTCAGCCACCTTCTCCATCTATTCATTCTCTAGACAAATTCATTCACGTACTTGCACACTACACCCAACTTGCTGCGGCACTACACCCAACAATATAACAGACATTTCTGTTTGGACATCCCCTTGGGCATTTCAAATTCAACATGCTTAAAATAGAACTTAATCTTTCTGGGATCAAAAACCTGCTGCTCCTTGCATTCTTTTTACTTTAGGCGCCAGCTCCATATACCTCTGAGTGTTTAAAGTCATTCTTTAAATTCCTCTTCTTACCATCCTAGTCATGAGAATCTCTCACTTTTTTTCCCCAGAATATTGGACTCCTTGCATCAAATTTGTTCCCCTACTGCCAAAATGGTTTTTAAAAAAATACAACTTGATGAGTTTGGAGATAAGTTTACACCAATAAAACCATCACAATGCCACAAACATCCATCACCTCCCAAAATTTCCTCCCACCCTGTCCACTTTGCGTGTGTGTGTGTGACAAGAACACAACATAAGCATTTAATCTTTTGATTAAAGTTTCCCATTTGCTACAGGAAAAAAATCCACACGTCTGACTGCATATTGCATGAGCTGACTCCTGCCCTTTTTTCGAGGCACTCTTTGCTTGTGCTCAACCCTTTGTTGTACCTTTTCAGTTCTTTGCAAGAGTGACATGCTTTAGTCTTCGTTTCCTCTGCTTAAAACACTTGCTTTTCTGTTACTCCTCTTTTAACTAACGGCTGCTTAGAAATACTTTTCTAAAGAAGGCCTTTCCTGACTCACTGAGATGGGCTCCCCTGTAATCAGCTCCCTATGTCATAACTGTTCTCAGCACTGTGTGTATCTTCTTCCCACTCTTAGTGACTAGCCAGTGCTTGGGATATATACAATAACTATGTGTTGAATGAACAAATTTATGCTCATTTCTGCAGATGGAACTAATGGGATTCTACACAGGTTTTTAAAGAATCTTTATAAATAAATGTTGCTAAACAGCAAAAATTGTTTTCCTTTAGCACCACTTAAAAACGTTTAAAATGTAAGTATTAAACCAGTTATTAATGGTATGATTTTTACACTGAACTATACACATCCAGAGTTTGGTATGAAGTTTACCCAAAGGTGATGATTGTGACTGTTTCTGCCACCTACTGGACACATCTGGCTTTTCAGCATCTCAGCCAGAATGCTCCTCTAGGATTTTTAACAGGTTTTAAAAAAATTTATACTGTATTTAAATCATACAACTGATGAACAGTTTTATGACATTAAAAATCTTATGGCAGTTTCCCTATTACACATGAACTGTTATAGTGATAAGTCATAATTTTGGAGAGAAATATTTTTTCCCCTCAAATCACTGGGCTGTTTTGGTTTTAGGATACCCATAATTTAAAAAGTGATTAGCCCTCAACACAGTAGGTCTACATATGCCCAGTAAATCACATGCATGGGCTGTTTGAGGAATAATTCAGTGGCAGCCCCAGGACTGCACTGGGCCGGGCCCATCTCGGTCTGGCCTGAGCCTTTGTAAATGGGATAACAGCAGAAGCAATTTCATGTGTCAGGGCTCTACAGATGGCAGATTTTTTCTGAATTTTTTTTTCAATTGAGGTACTCAGAGTCCATCTACTATCTAAGTGACTTCCCCCTACATAAGAACATAAGAAAGAATTTAATCTGTTATTTATAGGTGTCCAGAGGCCTGAGAGCAATCAATGCTAGGTGGCTTCTAGTGGGGCAGTCTCAATCCATGTAAACAGGGTTGCCAGAGTTAGCAAAAACAAACAACAAAACAAAAACAGGACATTTAGTTAAATGGGAATTTCAGAAAAACAACAAATAGTTTTAAGTACTGCCCAAATATTGCACAGGACATACTTATATTAAAATGTCCTCTATTTCATCTGGCAACCCTAATATCAATTCAATTCGATTTCACACATATTGAGAGGCTTACTATCTGAAAGAAGAGAGAAAGGAATCTTGGTACAAAGTCAGCATGTGTCTACTAAAGTGGAAGTGTTGCCTGGGAAAATCTCCATAATAGGCCACTAAGCACCAATAATGCTTTGCTTTATTTATGAGCACTGTTTTATATGACCGATTTTGTCAAAAACCTCTTCCTAAAGAAGTTTTAACTAGAAAAAACCGAACTTCAGAAAATGTCCTCAGATGTCTAATATATCCAAATCAAAAATATATAAATAGAATACACATTGTTTAATGTATCCAACCCTGAGGGAATTATGTAGTTTAGTTTGACTCTGTTGGTTTGTATGATTGTAGCTCTTCCAGTAGGTGGGAAAAACAGACAACAAATCCTTATGATGAGGGATAATAGGGAAAATCTCTTTAGGAGGCACAGAAGCACAGCCTCAGACAATGAGGCCTGCTTGTAGGAGCAATGGACAAATAGGCCCCCTTACCCCTCTTTTTAAAGAAAAGGTATAGCGGGAAAATCCCACCTTAATCCAATGTCAAATCAGAACTAGTGACCAGAACAACTTCAAATCATGGGATATTTTTCATGGATAGTGCAAAATACACAATTTATGATCATCTAAGCCACACCCACAGGCAATTCTTGCAATTATCAACAACCTTTAAGTCAGTTACCAAAATACTTGTCTACAATGTGTTTTAAAGAGTTGAAGAGATGGGGATAAAACATGAACAAAGTACAAGCCAAAATATAATGGCAGTAAGGGTGTTAAGTGTTTTCAAAGATGAACTGAACACATTAGGTACAGACTTCACAAAGGAGATGGTGTTTGAGAATAAGTGTTCATCAATGGATAATCAAGATTTTATTATATAATAAAATAAAATTCCTATCTTTAAAAGAAGAAAAGATGAACTGATACAAGGATTTCACACTAATACTGTTACAAATAATAAGATGAAGCATTTGATAAAAGAATGTTTTTGAAATAGCCTTGCCTGTATTTTTTTGGTTTCAAGTAGGTAAGTCGTCAGGGACTTTTGTTTCATATTCTTCTCATATCCTGGCAGAGCATTGTACTTGGCATAAAGAAGCACATGATTAATTTCAAGACAGAAACCTCAGGAAACATTTTCAGTTCAGCCATTGATCCCATCCAATTTGTCATCAGGTGCTCTAGATTTCATCAGCATCTTTTTTTTTAAATCAAGGTACATACACTAAAATGTAGTGTACAGTTCAATGAATTTTGACATATGTATACACTCATGTAACCATTCCCCAGGCCAAGATCTCAAACATTGTCACTAATTTTTTCCCCCTTCACCTATTTCACCCATCCCCTGACATCCCTCCCCTATGGCACCTCCAGTATGTTCTCTATGAATCTATTTGTTTTGCTCATTCTTTTGTTTTTTAGATTTCACATGTAACTGAAGTCATATGGTATTTGTCTTTCTCTGACTTATTTCACTTTGTATAATACTAGGTCCATCCATGTTGTCACAAATGACAAGATTTCATTCTTTCTTATGACTGAGTAATTTTTCATTATAAAGATGCATTACATCTTCTTTATCCACTCATTTATAGATGAACATTTAGGTTGTTCCTGTATTTTGGCTATTGTAAATAATGCTGCAATAAACAGGTGTGCACATGTCTTTTCAAATTAATAATTTTGTTTTCTTTGGGTAAATTCCCAGAAGTGGAATTGCTGTCTCCAACATCTTTTGAATCCATTCTCTATGAACATTTTTATTTCCATTTTCTTATTCCAGGTCTTTATTCCTTAAGCAGTGTGTCACAATACCTTCCTAACCTACATTTGCTAAAGACTTAAAATCTTAAAACAAAGAACATTTTATATCACTCCCTAAAAATATCCATTGCATACAAAAAGGGTCCTTAAATTTCTAGAGGTGGAAGAAAATTGTATTGTTCTTTGAGTTTAGATTGTAAATAAAAGACTATTTGAGGAAAGGGGAGGTATTTAGGATTGGTCAAAGGTAATGAAATGACCCTTCTAATTTTGAACAGGAAACTGCAGCCCATGGTTTACAGCGGTAGAATAGTCTATCATTGGAAGTTATCTTCACACCATGCATCAATGAGTTATGTGCATTACCATATGGAAGGAGCTGGTTTTAGGGAATTATGGAGTGACCAATTGAAGACTCAGCTATAATGCCTGCAACATCTTGAGCAGTTAGGAGTATTTTGGATACAGTATATATTTTGAAATAAAAATGGCCTATTTTTCTTACAGCAAAACAAGATGGAAGATAGGGTAACACAATGCTCTATTCTCATTAGGTTTATGTGAAGTTCTATTTAGGACTCAAGAGAACAACAATGTTTCTATTAGGGAACACAAACATCATCCCACTAATTTATATCTAAAGACAGAATGATTATCTCTCTTCTTTCATATTTCCATTTCATTTTAAGAAGCTACTTTTTTACTCTATTCATTACTGTATAGTGCAGGTATATTTACAATTAAGTCCATCAGTCATCTTAAGGTAATCATGAAGGAACCATAGGGAGAATAGACATCAAAACCCTTGACTTGGGAAACAGTGGCCCTGCGACTCCCTCCATGGGGGAACTTTGTTCTCCCATGAGGTGAAGCTCTTGCAGGGCACTTCATCTAATAAGGACACTGTGGCATCTGCTGTCCACGTCCAGGGGCCCACCATACCTTGCAGTTTTCAAGTTCCATACACTGTTCTCTGCTTTGACTCAGGCCTTTTCTGCTCCACTGGCAACCTGCACTGTTTCTGACTTCTGGACCACTGTTGTTTGATGGCAAGACATATTTACAGGCAACCAAAGGCAGAAAAGAATTTCCTGTAACTGTTTTTGCATTGCATTGATAGCTTCTTCCCAAACAACCTAACTTGACAAAGATGCTATTAGGAGAATCTTGCTGCCTGCTAAGAATGGGGCAAACATAATTACCCCATGACTTCAGGGAGTTCTTGGCTTTTTTCTCCCGCTCTAAAAAGGGGCTTTTCGTCAGTTTCTGAATATATTTCTGAGTACTTCTGGGGAAAAGGTTGTGGTATTTGTTGGAGAATTCCAGATATAGTAAAAGTGAAGACATAAACAGGAAAGCAAAATAAAACCTTGGTCCATTGCTGTGTAATAGAATGTCTAAACGCGCCCCGCCCCCATTATTGGCCACAGTACTACTGGTTTTTTACATAATATCATAAAATGCAAATGCATTTGTTTAACCAGTTTGGGTGGTTAAAACCACTAAGTCCCAAGGACAAGCTTCCTTCGAGTAACGGTCAAGTGGCTTACTATTGGACAAGCGCCCACCAGAACATTTTGCCGCGCTCAGAAATCCCCCTGGCCATGCAGGCGCTCAGTTCGGAGCTCTGGGTTTACAGCTCTCTGTAAAATGGGGCGGGGTTTAGACCTGGAAAATCTAAAAAGTAGCTGATGCTATTCTGTGCCCTTCTGCATCTAATCACGAAAGTCGCAGAAGGCACGCTCGGACTCCCACGGTTTGCACGGGCCAGGCGAGTCGGGGAGCAGCACCCGGACCCTCCGATTCGCCTTCGCGGAGCTGAGCGCGCGCGGACCGGCGGCCTTGGGCGGCGTCACCGGCGTCGGGTCGCCTTCCTGCCAAGGCCCGCCCAGGCGCGCCGGCGGAACGCTCCGGCCGCCCTCCGCTCCCGGCTCTCCGGTTCCCGGGCCGCCCGGGGGGACGCAGTTGGCGGCGACACCGGAGGGGGGCGGGTCAGGAAGTGGGGGCGCGACGGTCGGGAGCGGCCCTGGGGCAGCCGAGGGGCTCGGCGACGCCGAGGACGGGAGGCTCCGGGCCCGCGCGGGAGCCGGAGGGGCGCCCCGGTCCCCGTGGAGACCATGGCGGAGGAAGAAGGTGACGGGCCGGGGTCCAACGCGCCAGCTGCCGCCCGAGGTCCCGGGGAAGAGCGGCGGGGGCACGAGGGGCCCAGAGGCCTGGGCAGCGGGCGGCGGGCGGCCGGGGCCGCGCGGGGAGGGCGGGAAAGTGCGGGGCGGCGGCGGCGGGCGGAGGTTTGCGGAGAAATTCAGGAGGAGCAGAGTGAATGGCCCAAAGTTCTACCCGCCGAAGTGGGAAGAGAGGTGGAGCCTAAAGTTGGGAATCGGGTAGGAAGAGAAGAAGCTGTGTGTGGGGGGGTGGTTGAGAGGGAGGATTTGAGCAGATAATGGGGTGAGGGGCATAGTTTGGTTCAGAAGATGTAGGCTTAAGTACTGAGTGCATCTTTGAAAGTGAGGGTTGCTTAACGAAATGCCCCTCATTCTGAATGTGCTCTGCAGAGGTCTGTGGGTATTGACAAGTACAAAGTCACCGGGTGAGGAGCCGCCCGCCAAGGGCATGAAAGGAGGCAGGGATTTGGGAACACACATGGAAAGGTGAATTGGGAGGGGATGAACAAGCAGTAACTGAAGAAGGCCAAGTTCACTTGCAGGTTACGGAGAAATGCAAAGGTCTAACGATGTGAGAGGTTTGCGGGGAAGGTTAAGAAGGGAGGAGAGCTTTGAGGGTGAAAGTGGGTGGGCTGCAGAAAGATGGCTATGCCCCCATAGGGCCGATGCCAAGAAAATTAACTCAACAATATTTATTCAAAGAAAATGATAGGCATGAGAGAAAAATGGGAAGGTGAGAGGAACTTATCAGCATGTGATAGATATTACAGAAACACTCATGTTATAGTAACTTCATGATATCCATGCTAGTTTCAGAAACAGGTATATTTTGATAGTGTCACTTGACTGAGCAGTTAGATTTTGCATTCTGGTGGGAAACAACTTTTTTACCTTAGTGAGTGGACTTGTGAATGTGATCTAATTTAGAGGTAAACCTTATCGAACCAAGAGTGCAAGGAGGTAGTTTCAAGAATTCAGTTGTTTGAAAATTGAAAGTGATTTTTAAAAAATTGTTTGCTGCCCCTTGTCCTGCTGCCCTGCCCCTGTGCTCACACTGGCTTCATATTTGCCACCTCTTTCTTGAGTTTTCAGAGTGTTAAAACTGATCTAAAAATTTAAGGCACTACCTAAAAAGAGCTTCAGTGCCAAAGCTATTTGTAGTTGGAAGGAAGAAGGTAATTCCATTTGTTGCCTAGGTTTATCTTTGTTTGCAATGTTTTAAAACGTTTCTTGATATTTTTTCTTTTCTGACTAACTGCAAATCTATGGGGGTAATTTGAAGCCTGTTTTTATCCATAGTATCTCATGTGAAGATCACTGAACCAGAGACTGAAATAGCAGGTAATTTTTGTGGCTATATTATCATTTTCATTTAGTTTGACTTTTTCTTTACAATGCTAAAAGTAGGGAAAAGGAAACCTGAATTATATCCGAGAGCTTTCTTGTTAGAATTAATCTACTTGGTTCATTGCTTTGCTGCTTTTCCACCTAGAGATTCCTGGCTTTGTCTTTCAATTATGAAACTGTAAGATCAGTATAAAGGAAATGAAGTGAAATTTGCATCCAGTCAGTTTGGTTTCTTGGTAACAGGCAAACAATTAGTTTTAGGGACAAGGTTGAAGAGATTGATAAAACAAATACTGTATTTCCCATGTTGCACTTCTTGCTCCCACAGTTTAATTCTCCTGAAATCAATGTGTCTTGAAATCAGTGCATGCATTTAATGAAAGTGTTTTCTTCCCCTTGAAAAAATGTTTAGTATCTTAAAATGTATCTTATAATCAAGAAAATACAGTGTTATAAATCCTTTATAGATTATTTATGTGTATAGAGTTCTTGATCATTCTTGTAAGATTAATTCATGAATGATTTGAGAATTTTTGTATGAATTTTACTTTTATAACTAAAATCCATTTATATGTATGAAGAAAACACTTTAAAATCTCTGTGAAGTGATTTATTTTATAAAGAAATTTTTTACAAATGAAAATGGTAGCTTTTTGTAAGGAACACTTTTTATGTGAGTGTCCCCTTACCAGTTTATCTTTATCTTATATGTGTGCTTTTAGCTGCTAATATAAAAGACTTAAACCTAGCCCATTGGCCACATATATTTGTTAACTGCCTCAATAGATTTGTTAACTTGCTTTCTGAAATTATCTCGTTAAATTTTTTAAAAATGCAATGCTCTTAATGTGTTTAATCATGCAAGTGTAACTACTAAGTAAACTTCTTAGGGTTATATTTTTTCCTTGCATTCTTTTTTAGTAAAATTAAAAAGAATAACTTTTATTTAAAGACTTTATTTGGCTTTACATAAATCTTCATTCTTGTTGACCCCTTCTAACTTTTGCTTTAAGAGGAGGAACTTAAAAGGGCACATGAAGAAGGAATATAATATTTATTAATTGATCCAGATTTGTATGCAAAAATAAAAATTTATTAATAATAATGTCATTTTCTCATCTATTCACTGTCTCTAGTACTTAAGACAACTACAAAATAAATGATAGTATAGAAGTGGTTACAAATTAGACTAGTCAGACTGATATACTAAATATACAATATTTTTTCTCACTTTGCCAGTGTTTAAAGATGTTTTGGCAAATGAATCTGCTTTGAAGCTGCTTAAAAATGTAGTTTATTCATTTTCCACAGTAAAGCCAGAAAACCCTCCATCTGATTAACAGGAACAGCAGCTGATTTCATTTCTCGTATTTTGACTTCTCTTTTTAGGCTCACATTTCATAGCCTAAAGTCATTACTAAGAAAAAAGAAAACACTCTCCTCTGCTCCTATAAAGTAAATAAATTCTCTTACCACCTTATAAACTTGACAAGACACTATCTACAGGACTGTCATAGTCTATCCCAAAGGATAATTCTAGGAAGGAAAAGTAGTTAAATTGAATATAGCAAATTCTTGTGTAATTTGGAATTTGGTTTTTAGGTTTGAAGATATCTTCTGCGTTACATTTTTATTAACACTGAAAAGGCAGTTTAAAACTGGGAAATTCTGAGAGCTTCCCACAGATAGGGATATTTATAGATTCAGCCTATTTCTAATACTTAAATCTATAAGACTATACAATGATAATACCACAGAATTGTGAAATTCTGCAGAATAGTCAGAAGTACTAAAAAAATGAAGCAGTTTTATGACCAATATATTTTATTATATTTTAATTAAACAAATTCTAAATCCATGAATGATTTGTGTGATACTTTCAGATAACTAGAAAAATAAGCTAATTTACTAAATAACACCTTGTTCCTCAGTCATTCTGGAAGAGTTTACTTATTTGGGGATATTTTGAAAATAATATTATCTCAGGAGAAATACTCACTGGTTTATCAATAGGACTCTGAAAGCCCAGGTGAGAGGTGGGAACTGTATTAGCTTTTTGTTTGTATGAAAAACAGTGTTCAGGGGAGTGCTAAAATAATTGTGGAAAAAGTTATATTTTGTGCTGATAGGTTTCTGTGTGATTCTTGCCTCAGTATAATAAAAGTTAATCAGTTTGGGATACATATTAGAACAGTTTGATGCATACATTGCAATTACTTCTCAAATATTTTAAGGACCAACTGTAGAACTGCGCCAAAGGAAAAAGCTAAAGTCTTCAGAAAATAAGGACTCTGCCAAAGAAGAAAAAATCAATGACACTCCAGTTCCTGAAAGACCTCCAAAATGTAAGTTTGGTAAATTTATAATTTTTGTACTACTACAAAAATAGTTATGCAATGTCGTATATTTTACATTAATATTTCAAAGATCAAGTATGTAGTGATACCACTCAACTTTCATTAGGTTTTTCTGTACAACTCCTAAATCTCACTGGCTTACAACAAACATTTATTTCTGGTAATGCCAGCAGGTTGGCTGGTGTAGGTTCGTGTGTCATGAAGGAACAGTCCCAATTTGGTACATGTTTTTTTTTTGTGTCAGAAGAAAACAGCAGGAGAGCAGTTAGAGTCATGCAGTACCTCTTAAAGTTTCTGCTGAACTGGCACACTCACCTGTCACATTCTTTTGGCCTAAACAAATCATATAATCATCCCAGAAAATGAGATGGGGGAGTATACTCTGACTAGAGAAGCATTGCAAGTTACATGAGAGGGGGCAGGGATGAATAATCTTTTTGTAGGAAAGGATAAAATACTTGGAATAAAAGTAACAGGCCACCACATTTTGTCCTTTTGGTCATGAGCACTTATGTCTCACCCTCAGACAAAATACATTCACTACCTTTCCAACTCCAAGGAAGATACTCAGTCTTATTCAGTCATGCCATCAGCCTTGAAGCTTATCTATAGCAACGTCATCTTATCTATAGCAAAGCCAGATTTAATTTATTCTGATTCAGAGACATGTGAATTTAAAAGACAGGTTATCTGCTCTGTATCCAGGATCTCCAAAATCATCCCGATAGTGATTAGCTAGAAAGACTCACAGTCTCAGAATGTAATTGAATTCACAGCTATGATTTATTGCAATGAAAAGTTCAAAACAAAATCAGCAAAAGAAAAAGGCCAGTTAGCTGAAATCCATAAGAAACTAGTCACAGGCTTCCACGATTCCTCTCCCAGTGGAGTCACTTAGGATGTGCTTAATTTCTTCAGCAGCAAGTTGTGACATTTGTAAATTGTTTTCTACCAGAGAAGCTCATTAGTGACTGCTCAGGGTTTTTATTGGCAGCTAGTCATGTCCTGTCTGCCTACTGTATACCCAGACTCTAGACTCCCAGAAGTAAAGTGGTCAGTATGAACTACATTTTTGTACAAATAGTGAGCACAGTAAACCACTCATCAGTTAGAGAATGGTGGGAACCCTCCTGAAGTCCAAGTTCCCAGATGCCAGTACAAAGCCTACCTTTCAAACAGACCTTTTTCAGCAAAGCAGTTGTAGACCTGCTGTGTTAACTATTTCCTGCACATGCTTCCTCTCCCATTGTACATTGTTGGATAGGAACAGGGTAACCAAAGGGTCCCAAAAAGAGGAAGAGTAAGAGACACACAACAGCCACTGGTCCTTAGCAGTTCTGAAATCTTACTAGGTAAATATGAGGTCTCCTTACTCAGGTAGAGAGTGTTTCTTGATTTCCCAGTTGTTTTCCTTGGGAGTAGCTGCCAACTTCATTGTTTTCTGTGGCTCTTGGCTCCACCATCTGGAGGTCCTTTCTTTTCCATTATCTTCCTGAGCCATATCTGAAGATGGCTTTGGAGAATATGCCATCCTTAGGGGCTCAATAGCTTTCTCAAATTGTTTTGAGTATTGAGGGCCCATTTATATATTTTTGTCCAAATAAGATACTGGCAGTGGGTCATCTGCAGATTTAATTCAGGAGCTAGCAACAAGAAAAGTGTTTGGAAGCTAGGGAAAAAAAAGAATCCATATTATGCAATGACAAAGCATTTTGTAAAACTATACCCTGTGAGTAGTTGCAATTTTAATACTAATCTTTTATTAATTTAGGACACAAGATGGCAAAACAGAATGTAACTAGAGTGCTGTGGTTATCAGCTGCATTTGATTACAGGAAAGAGATTAATTTAGAATAGTATTGGCCTTTTGCAAGTGGGAATGAGGAAGAAAATAGAGAATCCATAATTTCTGGAATTTATAGTGTTGAAGTTAGAGTTACTTGTCCTCCTCAACCAGTAAAGAATAAAACTGAGAAATACTTTGAGTAACAAATGCTGATTAAGATGAATTCTCAGGGCAATGACCAAATCAAGAGCATTACTGTTACATAGTTTGTTAAAATGGATGAATGGGTTAAGGTAGTTCCTATGTAAATCCTTTCAGTGGGACAAAGCACTCAGGGAAAAATAATTAAGAGTGTGGCCCCACCAAAGTCTAATAAGCTCCAAAAACATGTAGTTAAACCTTTGAGAGAGGCATATCTAGAAAAAATTGTGGGTACAGTGGCCCCCCCTTATTTGCTATTTCGCTTTCTGTGATTTTAGTTCTCCATAGTCAACTGCAGTCCAGAAGCAGATGATCATCCTGACATACTGTCAGGTCAGTAGTAGCCTAACACTACATCACAATGCCTATGTATGTCATTCACCTCACTTCATCTCATCACGTAGGCATTTTATCATCTCACATCATCACAAGAAGGGTGAGTACAGTACAATAAGGTATCTTGAGAGAGAAAGAGACCATATTTACCTTCTATTACAGTATATTGTTATAATTGTTCTTTTATTATTAGTTATTGTTAATCTCTTACTGTGCCTAATTTATAAATTAAACATTATCATAGATAGGTGTGTATAGGAAAAAACAGTATATATAGGTTTTGGTACTATCCATGGTTTCAGGCATCCTCTGGAGATCTTGAAACATACCTCCTTTGGTTAAGGGGAAACTTCAGTATAGTTACTGGAACATGGAGCTGACTGGAGTCAGTAGGTAAAAAGCCAACGAAATTGTTTTCTTGTGTGAATAATCACAACTATTTCCGAGTGCAAAAAGGAATGATTTAATTTTTTAAATTAAGTTATGATTAGCATACAATAAATGCATAGAATCTTAGGTGTTAAATCAAATTAGTTTTGACACTTGAATACAGCTGAAAAAAAGATACAGAACATGTCCATTTTCCCAGAAAGTTCCTTTGTATGCCTTTCTAGTAGGTTTTCCCTGTACCTGCCCAAAACAACCACTCTTCTGATACTTATCAATATTGATTAATTAGCTTTGCATGTTCTGGAATTTCATATAAATGGAATCATACAACTTGTATGCTTTGTGTCTGGATTCTTTCACTAAGCTCAGTATGTCATCCTTTAAAAATATAATCATTTTGAGTTTCATTCATGTTGCTGTAATTTTCATCCCTTCCCTTCTTGTTGGACATTGGAGTACTTCTCAGTTTTTAGCTATGAATAAGGCTGCTCTGAACATACTTGCACAAATCTTTTTGTGGACATCTGTTTTTTGTTTCTAGGAGAATTGCTGGCTAAGCTTTTGAGAGACATGTACTGTCAAAAGAGCTGCTAGCCTCAATTAAAAAGGACAGAACTATTCAGGTCTTAAAATGATGTATGAGTCCCTAACTTTCTACATGCAGGAAGCAAGATGAGTAAGCAGCTCTTAGGGTGTCTTTTTTTGAGAAGGAATGAGTATATTTTGCCTTTGGCCAGGAAGTCAGCATTTGTGACAAATGGGGCAGACCCTCATGGACCCTTTAATTGTTCCCACATGTTCGCTCCCTTCCCAGAAGTGGATTATACATTCCTTGCCATTGCCCTGTAATTTGGAGTGACTTTCTGAAGCAAAGGATACTCCCCTACCCCATTGTCAGGCTTATCTGTGTGACTTAGCTGTGCCAGTGGAATGTGAGTGGAGGCAGCCTACTTCTGACCAGAGGCTGTAAGAGGCATTTTGTGCTTCTTACTGCCTGTTCCTCTGCTCTTTTCCTCTGACATGCAAACAGCATGTCGCAAACAGCATGTCCCAAACAGGGACTGACCTCATGTACAAGGAGAAGGGCCACAGCTGAGCTGAAGTCTGGAATTGGGTGGAGAGTCACCACTGCCCTGAAACCCACAGTAAACCTGAGTGAGAAATAAACCTTTGTTTTGTAAGCCACTGATAGTTTGGGTCACTTTTTTATCACAGGAAAGCTGGCTAATAGGGTGTCATTTAAAACATTTTAGAAAATACAGTAGAAGAAAGATAATTAAATATTCTGGAGATTCCTGTAAAATAGTATTTTTCCCTTGACACAAAAATATATTTTCAGGGTATAAATGTGGATAATAATAGGAAAAAATGTAGTAAAAATAAAATGTATGCGTAATTCTGGTAGATATAACTATCAAAATTTCAGCAAGTATGGCTTATTTTTTTTAATGCACTTAGCACTTTTCTTTTTTCTCTTTTTTTTTTACTTTCTGTGAAATTGAATTCTACATTTCTTAACATGTCATTAGCTTTTTCTATGCTTTAAATATTACTTAGCTGTGCTCTGTATTATTGATATTCACATATAGTATATATGTTTTTCTTTTTTTGTGCATGATCAGCATTTTACAAATGAAGAGACAGGAGCACACAGTTGTTTGATTAGATGGGTTTATGACTAACATAACCTACTTGGAAGTCAGATACTTTGTTTTTCAGTTTTCTAATTAAAATTATAATTTTTTAAGGTAGTAATTTCCAGGGCCCAGAGCTCTTTATCTCAAATATACACATTTAAAAATACCAAAAAATACTGATAGTGTGATTTCATCTTTGAGTCTCTACAAAAACTTTATTTAGTATTAAGGTAAGGCATTTATATATAGGATTGGGTTTATTATATTTCTTATAGTTAGGATTAATTTGCCATTGTCTAAAAGTTAATAAAAAAATAAACAGGAAAAGATACATGTTCAGAAACTTTGGAATACTTCTGCCAAACTGCTGCCGTGGATCAGTTTTCTTATAAATTTTTTGTAGTTCACATTATGTCAGTGTTGTTTTAATTATCTATCTTATATATTTATGCAGGTATGCTTCTATAGCCTGATATTAACAGCTAGTATTTACTGAGCTCTTACTATGTGTCAGGTAAAATGCTTTATACGTGCTACTGAAAACAGTAATTTTAAACATAGCATACTGATACTAATATTTGATGTATTGGGTAGTGTTTTTCATGTACTTTGAATATAATTCTCATTAATTTAGTGCCAAGTATTTAATGTCTCTAGTATGCTATGCAAACTAATATTCATTAAATAATGTTTTGGAAGTAGTTGATTTACAAACTTGTCAGTCATTCACTAACAGAACATTGGGCTTTGGGCCCTTAGACTTGTGCTTATTATATTTAATAGCTGTAGCAGGAATCATCTTGTGTGTAGAAAATCCAAATGTGTCTTATGTTATTTCATTAAGAAGTAATTACATGCATATAACAGTTTTACATGATGTTTTAAAGTCATTGAATTGTACACTTTAAATGGCTGTAGTTTATAGTATGTAAGTTATTCCTCAATAAAGAAAAAAATTAATAAGGAAAAAATACCAATAGTAACTCTGAACCTGTATTTTTCCTTTAGATATGTGATAACACATTCCCTTTATTCCTTTTTTAAATTAGTAGACTTTAATTTTTTAAGTCTTCTGATTTATAGAAGAATTGAACAGATAGTACAGTGTTCCCATGGTAGAGGCCACTCTCAAAGAGTTTTCCCTATTACCGTTTTATATTAGTATGATACATTTGTTACAATTAACGAACCAATATTGATATATTACTTTTAACTAAGGTCAATACTTTAATCAGATTTCCTTAGTTTTTATCTAATGTCCTTTTTCTGTTCCAGGAACATTGTATTTAGTTGTCATGTCTCCTTAGACTGCTCTTTTCTGTGGCAGTTTCTCAGGATTTCCTTGTTTTTGATGGCGTTGACAGTTTTGAGGAGTACTGGTTAAGAATATTGTAGGATGCCCCTCTGTTGGAATTTGTCTTCTGTTTTTCTCATGGTTAGATTGGGGGCCAGGGGTGGCATGGGTTTTGGGGACAAAGACCACAGAGTTAGAATGCCATTTATATCACATCAAGGGTATACACTACCTTTTGATTACTTTTTAAAATAGAAGTACATAAATATAAATACCATCTACATCTGATTACTTTTAATATGCTTTTTCAGATGTATTATTTCAGCGCTTTGCAAAGATTTTCATTGGCTGTCTTGCAGCAGTTACTAGTGGTATGATGTATGCTCTCTATTTATCAGCATACCATGAACGGAAATTCTGGTTTTCCAACAGGCAGGTAAGAAGAAAGAATTTTGAGCATATGAAAGTTTTAGTATTTAATATTAAGTAATGTGTTTTCCAGGGAGCCAAAATAAATGTATAATGAATATGACAAGTGATTTTTTATTTACAGTCATTTTAAGTTGTGTAGAAGCTGTTTTGAGAACAGTCACAGTATCAACCTTAAAAAATTCAATAGAATGTATTTCAAGGTCCTAGAATAGAGGCTCTGAGGGTGCTCTCCTTCCCTATTACTTTCATGTAATTTACTAGGAGGACTTTTGAAGACAGTGAACTGTTACAGAAGTTAGTCACCTTTTTAGTAGTTTTGGTAGTTTGCATTTCAGGAACAATCACTGAAAGTTTCAGCATTAAAATACTTACATTTTAGATTACATGATTAGAATGTTTTGGGGCAGTTGAAAATGATTAACAGGTATAACAGTATTAAGATGTTGCCTCATATTAGGATGTTTATTTAGTGTTTGGTTTTAAATCATGTGTATTCCACAGACTTTAGTTACTAAAGTTACATTCATAATTCATAATTTAGCCTTTAAAAAGTTTATTTTTAGACCTACCTTCATAATCAGATTTATTTGTGATACTCGTTGGCAAAGTTCACAGTGTCACCACTTGACTAAAGGATTTTCTTTTTCAGCCCAGACTGTTTTTGAGCAAGTATCAAACTGACTGAATGTTTTTAAGTCATTGATTTACCTAAGACCACCAAAACATTTAACTGAATAATTACCTGTACTGTTTTGAAAAAAGGATTATTGTAGACACCCATTTTCCTTGAAAATATTATACAGATTAACCATTAGTAGTTCTCAACACTGGATGTACAATAGAATCATCTGGGGAGCTTTCAAAAAATAATCTCCCTTTCAGAGTCTTAGGCGGGGGCAGGAGCAGTGTCTGGTATAAGTAATCCACAAAATATTTCCAGGCATTTCTGTTGTGTAGGCAGAATTGAGAACAACCAACAGCTTGAAAATACAGAAGGCATCCATCAAGAACCTTGTTTTTCAAAGCATTTTGTATAAGCCAGGAGCACTGGCATCACCTGGGAGCTTTTATAGAATTATAGATTCTCAGGCCCCACTTGAGAATCAGAATCTAATCAGAAATTTTTAGTAAGATCTCTAGTAGTCTCATATGCATATTAAATTTGAGAACCACTGATTAAGAATTTACATCTTTGAAATCTTAGAAACAAATCTGTTTCCATTTATAAAAAACCATCTTAAGGAAATTTATTTAGATTAGTAATTTCTAAATGAGATAAAACATGTTCACTGGTCAAATAGATCTTGAAAAGACTTCCTCTTGGAGATTCACAGTACATAATGGACATTGAAACTCTAAAAAGTCCTACAATAAAGAAACCTATTTATCTTTAATCCAGCTTTTTACACAATTTAACTATAGAATTTTTTTTAGATAATTCCCATTTATATCTTAGGAAGTTCAGTTAATCAAACTTGGGGAAACTTCTCATATCTTTTGTTTTGGTATTAATAAATATTATGCATGAAAATAAAACTTTTCATTTTAAAAGATTGTAGATTTATGAAAGCTTTATTCATCATGAAAAGTACAAGTTTCCATATAAGCCTAATTTTAGGAATTTTAAGATTTGCTTTTATTTCTGAAAGTTGATTTCAAAGCACTGATTAGATAACTGCTGTTCTTTTTTATTTTTATTTTTACTTTTATTTTTATTTTTATTTTTATTTTTGGTATCATTAATCTACAATTACATGAAGAACACTATGTTTACCAGGCTCCCCCCCTCACCAAGTCTCCCCCCACACCCTACGACAGTCACTATCCATCAGTGTAGCAAGATGCTGTATAATCACCACCTGTCTTCTCTGTGCTGTACAGCCCTCCCCGTACCTCCTCACAACACTATACATGCTAATCGTAATGTCCCCTTTCTTTTTCCCCACCCTTATCCCTCCCTTCCCACCCTCATCCCCAGTCCCTTTCCCTTTGGTAACTGTTAGTCCATTCTTGGGTTCTGTGAGTCTGCTGCTGTTTTGTTCCTTCAGTTTTTCTTTGTTCTTATACTCCACATATGAGTGAAATCATTTGGTACTTGTCTTTCTCTGCCTGGCTTATTTCACTGAGCATAATACCCTCTAGCTCCATCCATGTTGTTGCAAATGGTAGGATTTGTTTTCTTCTTATGGCTGAATAATATTCCATTGTGTATATGTACCACATCTTCTTTATCCATTCATCTACTGATGGACACTTAGGTTGCTTCCATTTCTTGGCTATTGTAAATAGTGCTGCGATAAACATAGGGGTGCAT